AAAGCTAGTGACTTTAATTCTGAGCCTGCAGAGCCAAAACCCAAAAGCCAGTGCTTTGAAATAACAGGCGGAGAGTAGAGGGACAGAGCAATAGCACCTTGCATGATGCTCAGGGCATGTCTGCCAAGCACCGAGGTTCTGCGGCGATCTGTGTAACACCTGATCCTGTGGCTGTTGAGCGAGGCACTGTGCCTGAGCTTATCAGCCAGGTTGAGCAGCCAGGAGCTGTTGGCAAGAGCGTAGCACTAGGCTGTTGTGGTTGCACCACCATGGAAACTGTGAGACAATATTTCTGCATGATGCTGGACTCTGGCATGTTGCTAGAACAGCATCTCTGCCCTGTCCCCTATTTACATGGAGCAAGGATCCCCTTAGCACAGTCAAGGTTTGCCTCATAGCTGCAGATTGCATGCAGCAAGCTGCTTGCGGACACGCTCCGTTACTTAGCACGGGTGCCCCACAGCTGGCAGGCGTGTTTATTGGACTCCTTGTTGAACCCTTGTGCCGGCAGCCCCGACAGCTTGTTTGCAATCCTGCATCTCATTGACCAGCTTGGGCCCAAAGCCCAAGAAGCCCAGAGGCTTGGAAAGGGCAGTACACCAGTAAAACAAAGAATGTTTACAATATCTCTGTAGGATGTAAAGAGATTGGCCAGTGAATGAAGTGAGGTCAGCCCTCAGAGGCAGCGGTCCTTATCTCCCTCCCCACGAATGAGGACCGTAAGTAAAACACTCAAACATCATAAGCATCATGAAACTGAGTTAAAAAAAAAAAAAAAAAAAGTGAGCTGGTGGTGGTGTCTTTAAGTAAATAACACATTCTGGAGTTTCGTTCTCAGTCTTACAGTTTTGTGACTTTAGGTTTTTTTCTGAGTTTAAAAAAGCTAGAAACATATTGTTCTGAGTTTTTTTGTGCGTTTTCTTTCCTTGTTTTTTGTTTTGTTTTGTTTTAATGAAATTAAGAATCTTCCACAATCACTTGATTCCTGGAACTGGAGCTTAAACCCCCTGCTTAATCTTCCTCTCCCAAGAAGTATCTTGCGCCTAGTGATAAAATCCAGGCTTTAGCCAGCTTTGGGTGGAGTATCTATGGGAAGGTGTTGTTGATATTTCATGAGGCCACATATTAATTGCTTTCTATCTCTCTGAAAGTTCCTGCTGGTCCCAATGGGTTTGCTTATAGTAGTAAACATTCGAGTGGCGTTACTTTATGTGACAGCCCAAAACTGCTGGGCTTTGCTGCAGAGGTGGCTGCATTTGTGAGCGTGGATAGGCAGATTGCTGCCAAGAGTGTATGTGCTTCCAGTGGTGAAATGCTCTTTGGAACCCCTTTGGGCAAAATATATCTTAGTATTTTGATAAAGGCAGAGTTCATATGTGATTTTACTAAGAACACTGACGAACAAGAGGCTTGGACATGAGACAGYAGCAGGTAGCCACAAGCGCCTTTGGAGAACGCAGGGAGAACATGAGGAAGCATATTGGGGAAGTGTATTGCTAAACAAAACACCTCTAGGTTATGAAAGACTCTATTTTAGATATTAGCTACCATATGGCTTTCCCGGTTGTCTGATGTAATTTCATGCACGGAGCGTGAGCCTTGGRCCTTTTGATTTATAGCCTTGATTTTACCCCAGATCTCCTTTAGGCAAAATACACCGAACTTCTCTTTGCCCTCATTCTTCTTTACAGATTATCTAAAGGGCCATATTGGGATTTGTATATTCGGGTGCAACCTTATCGATGTCTGCCAGAGGTTTCTCCAGGAAAGGAGAAGTAGGTAGGAACCCACTGTGATTGTGCCCATGCTGCTCTTTGCCTTGGGTGAGTGGACAATGTTACAGCAGTGGCAGACAGACATGTGCTGAACTGCCTCTGGGAAAGAGCAGGGCCTCACTCTGCCACTGATGTCTGCTCCTGCAGGCTGGGGTGTGCTAGGGAAGGGAAATAAACAATTAGTGTCTAGACATTGATGAAAAAAGATGAAGGATGGCTGATGAAAGTTCTGTAAAATTTTACAATGGTTGAATTTTTTGCACTTCTACTCCATCAAAACCAAATTCTGTAAACAAGAATTCTAAGGCAAGTGGGAACTTTTTCTTTCACTCAAGGCAGTCCACTGACAGGTACTAGACTTTAAAGTCTCTCAGATGTTAGATGAACAGTTCATGTGCCTTATGTGTGCTCTCACTTTGGGATGGAAGAGGAAAGCATGTAGGGTTTACACTGACTTTACACCCTCTTAATTGTCTATTTCTTTAAATAAAAGAAAGCCAAACTCAGCACTCTGTGCTGTGCAATTAACTGACTGTAAATGTGTTTTACCACAGAAAAGATAGATGGATGGTCAAGTGGTTTGAGGATGAGGTTGGAAGACATCATCTTCTGCATTTGCAAACCACTCATGTGTCCGAGTCTCTTGTAGGCAAAATGCTTCATCCCATATGTCTCTGTTAACCATTGATAAAAAGAAAAAGAGGTGAGCCATTAATACTACTGTGCTTCAGGGTGATCTTTTGGACCATAATTAATGTTAAAACCCTCTGAGATTGCCATTTGGAAGAAGCTGGAGAGGTGCTAGACTGTGTGCTACTGGGGCCTGCCAGCTCCCACCAAAGCTGAATCTGTTGGTGCTGCTTTCAAAATGTCGCTCATTGACAATGAAAGTAAATTAAAATTTTTTTGAAAGTAAAAGTAAAGTAAAAAAGTAAAAGTAAAGTAAAAGTAAAATTTTTGAAAGTAAATTAAAAATTTTCCCACATAATTCAACTTACAAGATTTTTGAAAGAAGACTGGTTTCAGATGAGTTAAAAGAGTTCTTTTTGACCAGATATCCCTTTGATATTTTTCCATTTGGGGTCTGTTTTTTTTTTTTTCCAAAATATCTGCTAAGACAGTGATGAAATGAAGTGCTTGTTTGTTGGCATATTATTGATTGCAGCCCCRACCATTGCAGCCGAGTGACTTTGCCTGCAGGCACTGGGCAGCATGGAAGCATGTAGTCCATGGGCTAACGTAGGTCTTCAACATCATCCAAAGGGCTGAAACGTGCTCCGACTCCCTGCCAAGCAAAGATGCTCCCTCTGACCCCATAGGCAACAGCATAGATGATGTAGGTACTAATWGCTGACTATTATAATTGTATTTTGATAAAATTCTGCTATGTTTGAGAGAAGTGCTCTGGAACCGATTACCACAGAGCTAATGGAGCCTCGCTAACTGAACCGCTGTGGTCAGAGCAGAGGTTACACATTAACTGTGCTCACATATTCCAAAAAGAAAATACAACAACAAAACCATGCAGACTAACTAATGAAGTGACCCCAGGATTGAAATGGAGATTAGCCAGCAGAATAAATATTCTCATTAGTCCCTCTTAGAGCTTGTCATGCCTGTCAGGGCAGAAGGAGCATTGCCTACTAGTTAGGACATGGCCAGAGCAGCAGAACTCCTTGGTCCTGTGGAAGAGATGAGCACTGGAGAAACATATTGAGAGACTTGAGGCCACCTTAAGTCTCTCATCTATTCCAAAAAGGAAGAGAGAGGGTGTCTCCTCCAGAATGGGATGTGAAGCACTGCTGTTAGACTCCTGCCCTGAGCTAGAATTGCCCCATAGAGGACCCTCCTGCTGTCCCAGTTGTTGCAGGAGGATGGCCCATGTGTAGGGCTTGTGAAGCCAAGCAGGGTGGACATCGCTCTATGGATGCACACACATGGAAGGACATTCTTCAAATTAAGGAAAATGACACCATGCCAAAGAATTAAAAAACATCTCCTTGCGTGAGCTTAGCACGTATGTCTCCTGCCCAACCTGGCTTTGGGAGTATGAGAGTTGCCTTCCTTGTGCACAAGTGGGTTCCTTGGCAACCTTTCAGGCATGAAGGAGTATTAAGGAAATAACATTAATTGCTCTGAGAGGGTATGTCCTACGCTGGGAAGTGCTGACAATTGCTACTGTGCAAATGTCATCTCTTATCAGCTGCATGCAGTGGGGAGAGAGGGAAAGGGAAAGGCAGGCATTGCTCCTGTCCCCACTGCAGGTACTCAGGAGTTTGAAGTACTCCTTTAAGTAAACGTGCATTAGCCTTTCGATCCTGTTTAAGCGTCAGCTGCTTTTATGGTGCTCTTTGCACTCACTCGCAAGAGCTACTCAGTTTTACCTTAGGATAAGGAGCTGGGTTGTGCAATTCCTTGTGTATTCCTCAGCACTGGCATCTCAGGTCTCCAAGGTGTGCGACCTCCTGCACTTTGTCAAAGCTAGCTTGAGTTGTCRTGCCTTTTGGGAGAGTGGGCAGAAGATGGTTATTCCTCCTGCTACGAAGTCTTCTCAGTTTGAAACTTTGATGCTGTGACCAGGACACTCTCAGCTCAGCATCCCCGAGTGTCCCATGCAACCACAGGCTGCTCCATGCTTCATCTGGTGCAAAAGCCCCATTTTACTGTCAGATACATTAATTCACCATTAATTTCAAGTGTGAAATTATCATTCCCACCCTTCTACCAACCCCACCCTCTTGAGGAAACAAGGAAAAAAACAACCTCAAGGGCTGGCTTGCAGGATGTGTCCAAGCTGTCACTTGTCAGCACAGTGCCTGCTTATGACAGGAGTTATTGCTCTTTTCTCTAAGGCAGACCATAGGGGAACCCTGCGTGCAAACAACACAGCACAGTCGTGTTTGCGTTGGTGCATGGCAAGGCAGCCCTGGGGATGTTTGTGTCCTGTCACAGGCATAAGGCTGTGGTGTAAAGCCCCAAAAACCACAGGGCAAGGGGAAAGGCAGCTTTGCAGGCATCGGGGACCACTGGGGCGCTGGCTTCTWTCCCATGGTTCTTTCCTGTTGAAGCCTAACATCGTCTTACTTCTCCTTGAATCGCCAAAACTGACTGACATGAACCTGGACCACATTTTTCTCTTTACTCCTAAAGGCCAGTTATTATAACAGCTTGCCAGCAATGGACTGAGGGATAAGCATGAATTTTTCTTTTTTTCCTGCCTTCCAGATTTACCCTATATGCAGTGGATACACGAGGGAGACACTCGGAGCTGAGCACGGTCACYTTGAGGACAGCCTGCCCACTGGTAGACGACAGCAAGGCAGAAGGTCAGTGTTCAGGCGCCTGATTTTCCAGAGCAAAAGCCATTTCCCGTTAACTTTGCATTTCCTGTATGCACTGTTCTCCCATCCTACTCTTGTCTCTCCCAATGTGCAAACTTCTATGTATTAGGGCACAGGCATATTATGCTGGAAATGGATGACAAATTTCAAGTCCCTTCAACTSCAGAGCTTATTTCTACTGTGTTCCTGTGCAGCCTCTCTCCCTGTGCAAGACCATGGGAGCTGTTAATTTGCGTCTGACTTAGGTCCCCTCGAAAAGGAGAGAGTCCATATCTCTTATTGCAAAAAAAAAAAAGAGATACTGTCCTGGGACAGCATGGTGGGAGCAGTGCATGGGACTATCGGGCTGGTGTTTTAGAGAATTAGTTTTAAAGAACTAGTGGCAGCTAGTTTGGTTCTGAAATGGAAACACAGATAAAAGCTTGGAGGTTTGTGTTTTCAGATTTTTTTCCCTCTCACTTCCTGAACATTTTACTGCCTTTAAATGTAAAAACATTCATCTAAATGTAAGGTAGGTTTTCTTTCTTTCATTCTTTTTTTTTTAAGCAAACAAAAGGAGGCTTTGATTGATGCCTTGTTTAAGGTTATTGATAAGCACTTCCAAGAAAAAAATGAGCAAAAATGAGACTAAAAAGAAGGAAATATTTTTTATGCTCTTTTCATTTCCAGAAAAGAGCTTTTTCTTTTACAATAGAAAGTACACCCTCTTGTTTAACAAATCTTTGAACTGCTCTTTTGGAATAGTCACAATGATGATTCACTGCATTCTGGCTAAATTACCATTTTGTTATCAGCAATGTCATTTTCTTTCTGTCCTTTAATAAATCATGGGGCCCAATTCACCAAACAGCTTATTTGCCCATATATCCTCCTCTTGCTTTTCCTAGCCTGCTGATTGTCGTCCTTTCCCAATAGTTTCCCTGGGCCTGAGCATCCCTCTTTCACTCACTTTCATTCCAAAGCTCTCCTTTCACTTCCGTGTCCTCACTGGTCCAGCAGTCCTCTGTGTGTAGTAGAACTTCAGAGGGTGCAACCCCAATCCCTTGTACTGCAGGAAGGCGTAGTAGCTGTGTAATTATTTTCCTCTTTGTGATTTAGGGAAGAGCTTGTCCATCCTAACTCGGCAAGTGAGGATGTGCTAACTGGTGGTTCTTGGCCAGCAAGTCTCTCCCCGCTTCTCCCACTCTTTTGTGGTGTATGGCTGGAGTTACTGGGGCCTAGCTCAGCACAGGGTTAGCCAGAGGCCTTGCTAAACAGCGTGCATGTTGCTGAGCACCACTGCAGGCAGCATGTGAGGAGCAGTGGGGAGGCCACCATCCCAGCCACTCTTCCCAATCTGCTAGTTTCCCCCAAAGACTCATTCTTCTCTCTCCTATGTTAGCAGGTTCTGCCCATTAAATTCTATCCCTTTGATCCTTTTCAGAGATAGCGGACAAAATTTACAACCTCTACAATGGTTATACCAGTGGGAAGGAGCAGCAGACAGCCTACAACACACTGATGGAGGTCTCCGCTTCCATGCTCTTCCGTGTCCAGCACCACTACAACTCCCATTACGAAAAATTTGGTGACTTYGTCTGGCGCAGTGAGGATGAGCTGGGGCCCAGGTAATTGTCCTTTCTCTTCCTTCTCCCTTGCTGCTTGACTGGAGTGCTGCACTGTTTGATCACTACCAACGTGAATCTCATTGCCTTCTCATGTCTGCAAGATATGAGAKATTCCCCCCTGTGTTGTTCACCAGACTGTCCTACAGTCCTCTGTGAGTGCAAGGACCCATTCAGGAATGGCTCAGATGAATAATTATGAAGTGTCCAGCAGCAGTGTGGCAAACCAGCCTAAGCTGGGTGGGAGATAGAGAAAATAAGGAGATGAGTGTATTGGTAAGGCCGTGTGAGGGTTCAGGGTCATAAATTAGGCAGTTGCAGAGTGAATGGACTGTGTGTAAAATGAGACTGACTCAGAGCCTCTTAAGCTGTAAAATCTTGGTAGATGAGACCATGGCTTCTCTGAGATTCATGAGTGCCTTGATTATTTGTAGGGTGGGTGGCTGGAAAGAGTGACTGGGGGAATGAAGCAGAAATGCAGCAGGTACATTTATAGTAAGGATGATGTGTCAGCAGCATGCATTTGATGTCAAGAGATGCAGTATGGAGGGAGCAATAGTCCCAGAGGTATTTCAGGACTATAGTATGTCCATCCTTATGTTGTTGTATCTGTACCTGGCAAATAGCCAGGTAAGAAATAGCATCAGCAGGTGCTCTTGGATGGAGGACCATGTCGAGGCACATAGTGCAACCCCCAGTATCATGCTCCCACAGTGGACAGATCTTTCTCTGTGCTGTTTCTACATCTAGAATAATTATGGAATTATGTCCATTCCCCATGGACAGTAAAGCAGAAGACCACCTGCCTCAGGTGTGACTTCAGGCACCTATTACAATCTGTTGTGGCTGAGGATGTGTATCAATGCAAATATCCTGCTGCAGGAAGATTGTTCTTGTGTGGTAACTGTGGTAATCCCCTAGAATGGCAGAGCTAAGATGCTAGCTAAAAGATTATTRCTTTCAACTGTAGCTTTACAATTTGATAACATGAAAGTAGTCAATGACTGAGCAATCTGCATGTGGTAAAGTTGGCTCTACTAAATAAGATGTTTTATGGAAATTTCCTTCTATATATTACTCGCTATATGTATCTGATCTGACAGATCTTTATCCTCACAACAGTAGATGGCTGCTATACATTTTGTAAATATTTCTGAGATTTCCTTTACTGCCTTCTCTCTTTCCCAAGACAATAATTCAGCCCTATTGATGTAGGCACTGGAAAGGTCTTCCTAAATTTTCATGCTGTGATGTGCCTGACACCATACAAGGATGCCAGTGAGGGAACAGTGCATYGTCTATTACCTATATGAAGTCTTACACTAGAAATGTGTTTTCTTTACTATAAATTAGGGAGGGAGGGCTTGTTAAGAATTGTTAAGAATTCTTGTTAAGAATTGTTTGTGTGATTATAAAGAACAACATTTCTAGAGGGACTGTATCTTCAAAACACTGCTGTACAATGAAATGGTTAATAAGCAGATCCTGAGAGATCACAGCAGTGGAGTAACACATACATGGACTACATCACATTCAGAGGGATTGCAGAGTTCCTAGCAAAGGCTCTTTAGCCMGACTGCCACATAACCTCAAGACCCCCTGGGATATGTTCAGTAGAAGCTGTAGCTCTCTAAATTGAGATCCTTCATAGGTTTCAACTAGCCTTGACCTCCTTTGAAGTTCTTTGTCCAGCATCTTGCCTAACATGTTGTTCTATGAGAAGATGAAGAAAGGAAACATGAAAGAATGGAATGAGATGGGATGATTAATTGCAGTCCATGAATAGCTGGCAAAGATTTTCCTTCTCTCTCCCGACTCTTATCTGCTTGTTGGACACACTGAGGATTTGTCCATAATACCAAGATGACAGTTCCTCACAGCAGTTTTCACTCTTCTTGGACATAAATCCAGGCTAGTCTGTGGCTCACCTCCTACAGAGATGACCTTGGTCGTAATTTCTGTGGTAGCTCATTAACCTCTGACAGGCAGCCACTGTCTCTTGCTTCCTACTACCTTCCTTCTCCTTTGATGACACCGCAAAGTTATTTGTCACTTTTAACTGTTCATCTCTATAAATCCTTGGGGGCCATCCCCCTCTTCTAACATGTTCTTATTTCTTCTGTTACTTGATATTCAGCACACTTATTTAAGGATATTATCTGGCTTGATACTTGCTATCTGGCTAAGACATTGCAAGGTGACATTTAAATTGCCCGTATTGCCCCACTGTATACCAAGTGACATTTGGAGTCACTGGTCAATTTTACTGCAGTCTGCCTTCCACAGAAAGACAGATGATCTCCTTGCAGAGATCACATGTCCTGTTACATACTTAAGAAATATGTGACTTACAGCCCAGAGGAAATGTTTATAAATGCCACTGCAGCCAGTGCCAGGCTCTGGACAAGAACGAAGCGCCATCATCCAGACTTAGTTCTCAGGAAGGTKGGACAGAAATGAAGGCACTGACAAAGCAGAAGGCAAGTAAAGATTTGCTAAGGGACACCATCTTGTAACACAATTTTAATTGATGGATTGCTCTCTTTCCCAAGGGGACAGTCATTTTTGTACCTGGAAATGTTTATCAGATGAGCCTCAGAATCACAGTAAATGTTCACTCATAAAAGCTGAGCGACAAGAGGGAAGTTGATTGCCTCCATGTAATAAATACATCACACTGGAGTCCTCATGAGCCCAGTTTCCATGAAAGCCACAGGTTACTGCAAACAGCTGCTTGTGAGAAGACACACAGCCAGATGTCCCAACCAGACGGTTTACATTAAGGAGACATTAAAAACTTAGCTCATAGGTGGCCCTAAACCAGGACTTTCTGTGGTCAGCAGCATCTTGGCACCTGGCTTGCTCTGTCCTACTAGTCTCCTGTAGCAACACCATCTTTCCTGCTCCCCCAACAGACACAAAGTGAATCTTGCAAAGTTAATTTGTTCCAACAGAACAGAAGAATTTGTCTAAACCAGTGAAGGTTTAATGCTACTGTGCATTCAGATCTTTGGATCTCTTCAGCAATGATGCTTCCTGACAGCAAGGAATTATTTTTTTATTAGTTTTTCTTATGTATTATTTTTACAGTCACTGCAGTCAGGGTCTTGCTTTCAGGAAGAAGAGGGAGAAATCAGCAGGAGGGTTAAGATCCTCCTTCCATGCCCCTACTTCTGGCTACCAGGAGCAACTGGGCTCAAAGCCTCTCCTTTTCTCAGGCAAGGGGCCTGCGCAGACAGGCTGTGGCAGCAGCAGGAGACAAGTRTCCTCAGCAGTGCACAATATCCCCAGCAGCTGCCTTTTGGTACTGAGGGGGAATGCAATGTACTGATGGGAGGCGTCGATAAGAGGCCAGTGAGTCCTGGACTCATTATCCTCCCAGACGAGGGTCTGACAGACCCAAGTCAGTTCTCAGTAATGTGGAAAAAAGCCTGAATTTATGGCAAAATCACCCCATATGGCAACAGAGCAGCCAGGCAGCCACCCTCTCCCTGCAGCAGCGCTGGGAGAATTATCCTTTCCTCCAGCCCAGGTGTCACTACTTCTCTGCTGCTTTGTGATTTCCTAACTTTCTTCTTGGTCAGAGAGAGCAGCATTTTGCTGGCTCTGAATAAGTTCTCAACCCGCATGAGCCATCAAGGTGAATAATCTGTGTTCCCACTGCAACTGGGGATGAACATGGGCAGGTAAATGAASAGGGGAAGGTGAAGTCTCTCCTTCAGGGAGCACCTGGTCCAGGCATGGCCATGTCTCCTGCTCCCCTGCATGTCCTAGAGTCAGACCTGGCAACTGAGGGGTCTCAGGGCCTTCACATACTGGGGAGGGAGGCAGACGTGCAGAGCAGCCACTATTTATAATCCCCCCTTYCATCATTTATGACTGCAGTTGTGACCTCCTAAATCCTTCACTTCAATGGAGACCAGAATCAGTTGCTGGCTGGCGCCAGCTTAAAGCAGCAGTCCCTGCAGTGTGACAGGCTGGGTGGGCACTCRCTAGCTCATGCAAGGCAGGGACAGCCCGGACTCGGGCCAGGGTTATGGGGCGAGGGGGAGGAGGGTTGCTTCATCCCTTTCCAAGCTTCAAAGCATGGGCAAGATATGGCCATGGGCAGCCATGAAAATGATCCCCCCTACGCACTCCCCTGCCGTCCCATCCTGATTCCTGCCCTTTAATAAGGCAATAAATTACTGTTCCTGGCAGGGATGAGGTTGGTCAGCATTTAGGAAGATTTCATTTCCAGTATTTGAAAAGGTGGTCGTTCTGACCCGTCAGCCCTCCACAGGGAGCACTTGGGTAATACCCAGGACTTGATTTATGGTGTTAAATTGGCAGCCCAAGAACTGCTTCTATAATTTATTGCCAGCCTTCACCAGAAAGCTTCTCTCTCTTTCCCACCCCTCCCCTCACCCGCTCTGTCTCTCTATTTCTCCTTCTTTATTTTTTTTAAGAGGGAACAGCTGACAGCCAAAAGTTAAATCTAACATTTACATATGACTTCATTAACCCCACTAAAAAAAATCTGAAAAATCTGAAAAAGGTGAAACCCATCAAACTGGGCCATTGGTGCTGTTGTGAGGATACTAGAAGTGACGGACTTGATTCCTTCCCTCCCCATTATCTTCTTCTTGTCCACGATGTGCTGTCCCTGTTGCTGTYGTCGTGTCCACAAAGGGGTTTGCATGCATCAGCATCCTCCAAGGGCCTGCTGCACCAAGCACACTGCAAGTGAACAGGTGTGCTGAGATCAGCTCCAAAATTAGCACAGCCTCCAGCAAAGTGGACATCAACAGCTCTAGGCGGTTTTACCCTGTATGTCTTACCACCATAAGCTGTTCCTCACACATGAGTATGTTTTGCTGGACATATGTAGTTGCATGCTGGGGAGCCCAAGCATTATTTCAGATGGATTAGGGACAAGCTGCAGTTACCCATCACTGTGATATGCCTCAAGTGCTGGTCATGGCCACTTGCTGTTTTTTTCCTATTTTGTGCTGGCTGATGAGTGGGGAAAACCTTTCAGCCTGGAGAACTGATCAGAGTGGAAAGGGGGTGCTGGGTTGACCTTCAGACCAGCGCATTGCCTGCATTGGCATGGTGTTCAGCCACCGAAACACCTGCTGAGCACAAGGAAATATCAGGGACAAAGTGAGCAAGAGTGAAAAATTCTCCTTTAGCAATAGCGATGATTTACATTAAATAAAAGTGGCTGTGGAACCCCAGYCTATTGGAGAGACTGTCATGGTTTGTCCAGCACCAAAGGACCTGTTCTTGGCAGTGTTACCTCTCTTGATCTTCAGTGGGAGCAAAGGAAGGTCTAGAAGGCTAGGTGTCTGCCAAGCAGAGTAGTGTGAGTAGAGATGTTCTACCATAGATTGGGCAAAGCTTAGCTCATGAAATCAGTATGTGTAGGTGTGTATGTAGGCAATGAAYAGGTAATGAGGTTCACATTGCCTCCCGGGGCTGACCTTTGTGTGTGAAACCAATGGACATGCACCACCTTCAGACTTAGCATCATCCCAGAAGGGTGAGCCCCTTGCTGATCTCTTCCCCTGGAAAAAGGAGTCAGAGCTGCTCTTTTTCTGGAAGGGGAAGGGTAGTTTTCTGAGAGCAGCTGTGATGATAGAGCAGTGGTTTGTTAGCCRTTCATCTGGTCATCTTGCTCTGGAGGGAGGGATTCGTAGTTGGCTGCGGATGCCTGAGTGCCCTTTTGCCTCATCTCTGTCTCTGCCTCTGCACTTTGGTCTGAAGCTCATGCTTCGATGACTCATGGCAAGTCCTTCCTTGGAATCTCAGTCAGTGGGATGCCTTTGGGTGTGCAGCCACATCAGAAATAGCTGCTCTCCCTCCTGACCGTGCAGCTCACAATCCATGCTGAAGCACCATAAAGCTTTCATAATCAAATAATCCCCATGTTTATGCCTCGCTGACTGACAGCACTGCCCCTCACATATCATTATCAGGAATTTACATTCCTTTAGGAACTACAAAATCCCCTAACCCCAAATCCAGAGCTTTCCTGTGGCACCAGAGGGAGAGGAAATAATCTGTGATCTTGAGACTTTCAGACCACTGAAGTAAACCCTCTTGCCCTCCCTTTGTTTGATTTAGCACTTTGCAGACTCCCACGAGGGGGATTCTTGGTTTCTTACAGATTTGTTTTGTCTTAATGTGTTGTGCTGTGTTTTTCATCTTCTCTCTTCTAGCGTTGGTCCTGTTAGGCCATTCACCTCCATGAGACTTGAGATCATGCATGAGGGGAGGTTGTGCTCATGAGTCAGGGGAACAGTCACAGTGCTGGGGGTCTCCCTCATGTGTCATGGGCCAGGAGGTAGAAGGGGCCCCAGCATACAGATGCAGTGATGCCCATAGCCACAGCAGCAGACAGCAAACCCAGGATTCAGTGAGGAGTGAGGTCCTTTGAGACCCATGACCCATCTCCTACATCAGTTTGGTGAAACAGTAGATATACTACAAACTTTTGTAGCAAAGCAGCTCTTCTCTGACTAAAACAGGGACAGCAATGGCTTAGGCAACAGGTCTCGTTCTGTTTGCTGCACGATAGGAGAACCTAGGAGTGTTGACCTATATTTTTTTATTTGCGCTCCCTTCCCTGTCTCCATCTCCGTTTCTGTCTTCCAGGAAAGCACACCTGATCCTAAGGAGGCTGGAGAAGGTCAGCAGTCACTGCTCAACCCTGTTGCGCAGCGCCTACATCCAAAGCCGCACGGAAACCATGCCCTATCTGTTCTGCCGCAGCGAAGAAGTCCGGCCGCCYGGCATGGTCTGGTACAGCATCCTGAAAGACACCAAAGTAACGTGYGAGGAGAAGATGGTCTCCATGCTGCGCAACACGTATGGAGAGTCCAAGGGGCGGTGAGGGACCGTGAGGGCCTGGAGCTGCGGGAGGCGCCGGCACTCCGAGGAGTCCAGGACTTGGGAAATGCTGAGTGTCTGCTGGGGCTGGGGGAAGGGATCGGAGGGGGTGGAAGGGGACAGCAAGGCAAGCAGGACTTTCCCTCACAGACAGCAGAGAAACAAGAAATCAGCAAGTTGGACTTTTAATTTCCTTTCCTTTTTCTTTTTTTTTTTAAATTTTTCAAGAGAACAAAAAAAAAGTTACCTAATTTGACTCAGCATAAAAATCTCTCCTTTTTAATCTTTTCTTACTGAATTTCCTGGACTACATGCTCCTAATCCCCCGACAGAGGCCGGAGCCGGCGCGAGGGCCGGCAGAGCAGAGCTGCGGCCCATGGCACCCTCCCACCGCAAAGGCTCCGGTGCCTCCACCAAGGGCTCCACTGCCGCCGCCGGGTGCTGAGACCCGTGTGGGAGCAACTGCAGCGCTGGGAGGCCATGGACACCCCATGAGAGCGGAGTCGCAGAGGTGAATGCCAGGCAGGTGCAAGGACGTTGTGGGCACGCTGTTTTTTTTAAATACACAGAGTTTACAGAACGGCTCCACACAGAGCCTTCGTTCACAAGGCTCCTGACAGCTTGTTCTGCGTATTAAAGATTCCTATTAAGTCCATCCTCACTGCTTCTTTGGTATTTCTTACTGTCATTGCCTCCCCACTGCTTGGTCAGTCATAGGGTCACATGAGGTGGAATGGATGGTTTGGTGCAGATACGTGACCAAGACAAGATGCTTGATTTGGAGACCAGCGTTGAACCCAAAAGCCAGACGCTTAGGGAAGGACAGGAGGAGAAAGTGCAGCCTCTGCACGTGGGGTCCTGTTCTTCCCCAACATCCACCTCATCCGCAGATGCCAGTGGGAGCTCTACATGTATGGGAAAGCCCAAGGAGGAAGCCAGGGGCTAAAAAGACATGGAGAATCTGGTTTCTTTTACTGTCAGATGTGGGTTAGGCTGGCCCGAGTGCTGGGTGGGTAATGGATTTCTCAGCCTAGTAGCCAAACCAAAAGGGTAGGAGGGTGAGAGGAAAAAAAGCAAGAATCGGATAAGCCTAAAGCTATTTTTTTTCCTTTTTAAAGCAAAGCAGCAAACTTGAAGGGACACTGGAAGGGGATGAGGCAACACTGTGGGCTGAATGAATCAGTTCAGTCAGCCCAAAGCAAAGTTTTGTGTAATCTTCAGGGCCTTTAACCCTTTACAGAAAACACAGACAAGCAGGAGGTGAACACCATTATGAAAATGTTCTGAAACCTAACRAAGTTCCAGGATTTAGTGTGGATGAATGTTAGGTGGCAACTTGTTCTTCTCAAGCTRAACCTATTTATCTGGTCTCAACTCAGCTAATGCTGATTGTTTCATTTTTTCACCCAAAATGCGCCTTTTTTTTTTTTTTTTTTTAAGTGTTGCTTTTTCCCTTCGGTTATATCTCATTTGTTTGGAATCAGTGACACAAGGGTGGGCTCAAGGCTGTCCCTCTCCAAAGCTGAGGTGATGATAGCTCCTGAACCAGGGGCCGTCGTGGCAGTGGACACTGCTGTGGTGTCACTGCTGCTAAACCTGTCTTGGCAGCACTCCTCACAGCAGCACTATGTCCCATTAACCTCTCCGGCTGTTTGGAGGCAACTGGACACCAAGGAGTTTGGAAGCACGTTTATTGGGATAAATGGGACCACTTCAGCGCCAACAAACAAACAGTGGGGTCATTTGGGCTCAGCTCCATGAATCCCTGACTCCTGTGACTCCCATTCTTCCTATGCACAAGCTGGGACTGAAGGATTTCTATGAGTTGAAGTGAGGCCGTGGCCCATGTCAGCTGTCAAGCCTTGCACCTCCAGGAAGGGGAGATGCTGGTGCGGGAGGAGGTGTTGGGGTGATATTTGTTCAGCTTTGCTATTGTGCAAAACAAAACACAGCAAAAACCCTTGAAGTGCAAATGTGAAGGCGTCAGGTGCCTGGACTGGTGTTTCTGGCACTGTGGTGTCATGCTGAGCAGCTTATTTCGTGTTCTGCCATGGCACAGTAGCTGCTCTACGAAGGTGGAGGTGCAGAAACAACATCCTCTCTGAGGAAGCCTGGATGCAGATGGACTGTGGCTGATCCGTCCCCTCCTGCCACCACAGAGCAGTTGGGCCATTCAGCAGGACTCAGCACCCACCAGGGACTTCCAGAGCCCCCGCACAGAGCCCGCCGGCTCCCAGCGTGGCGCTGCTCGCCCTACAGGCACCTTTGAGCGGCCTGACGCACTCTTGTTTTCTCAAGGCTCGGGCCCACATCCTTGTCTCCTCCTGTATTTTACAAACTGGGTGTTTGTATTTTGTTTTTTCTTTGTTTGCTCGGAGATGATTCATTTCTCCTCAAAGCCCTTTGCGACAGCTGAGAGAAACTCTGTGGTTTCCCTCCGGGTAAGCGCCAGCCGTGCCTGACCTGCCAGGCAAATCGCTTGTGTTACTGCAAGGGGCTCCAGGCAGCTGTAGGTGTTTCAGGGATAATGCTGCTCATGGCATTCCTGACTGTTGTGGTGAAAGGAGCTGGGAATATGGGACAGCAGCCACAATCCTGGCCTTTGAGCTGGATGTTCTTCAGTACATTCTGGTAGGGAGGCTCCACTCTGATACCATCAGCTTCCCTCAGCGATTCCATTTGCACCTCAGATAGGCATGGCACATGCAGGGCCTGCAGCGGGACTCAAGGGGAAAGGGCCAAGCAGGGCTATTTCTCCACAGCAGGTCTGACAGGTGGGAAGGAGACCTTGATTCCCGCTGGAGCAAAGTTGGAGTAGCTCCCTGGCAGGTTAGTCCTGCTGATGGCTCCRCATGGCGCTGCTCCTGCTTGTGCTGCTCCGTGTGCAGCAGGTGAAACATCTCAGCGTCGCAGGGAGGCAGCGGGGGCCGAGCTGAGAGCTGTCCCGGAGCGCACCTAGCACCCAGATCACAGCCAGGCCAGCACAGTGCGAGAGCCCCTGGCCTGCCAGGCTACCCTGGCGTTGTGTWCCGAGCCAAACAAAACTGAGGAATTTGTCGAGGTTACACATTCCCCAGCTCCCAGCTGAAAGGAAGGGCCTGTATTTTCTCTCTGGAAACTTTGGAGAATGTTACCCTCTGGCTTTCAAGATAAACAGTTGTAGTCAGAGCCTAGCAATGCTGGCAAAGCACTGCATGCTCTGCAGCGCGTGTGCCCACACACCAGCCTGGCTCCAGCCCCCAAGGGGAACCGTGTCCCTGCTCCAGGACAAGCGGCTCCAGTCATCTACTGCCCTGCTCTTCCAGTGGTGGAAAGCAAGTGAGGCTAAAAGAGCGAATCAGCAATTTTAATGGATAAACTTAAAATTTCTGCCCCAAACTCCTTCTCTTTGTTGCCAAATTCTTTCCCACTGGGTATCTTGCTTTGCTGCCAGGATGTGCTGGTTTGGAGCAGGCCTACATCACCATGCATGGTACCTAGAGCACAGCAGCACCCTGCACTGCTCTGCTCATCCTGGGCACAAGTAGCTGGGCCTGAGGCTTCCATGCTGCAGCTTATCATGGTCCACCTCATCATGTGCAGCTTGGAGGCAGTCAGGGAAGAACAGGGACACAGAACAATAGCCATTGTTCAGGCACTGGGCTCCCCACGCAAACCCTCAGCTCCGCAGCAGCCCCCGCACCGGCAGCCGTGTCAGCCTCATGGAGCAGGGGACCTTCGCCTGCCACTAGTGCTGAGCTGGGCTCCACAGCATGTGATGTGCCCGGGGAACGGGCGGATCTGAGGTGCCCTTAGGGAAGRACATGGGCTAGCTGGGTCTTCCAGTTGGTCCCGAAAGTGTTAGTGAATGCATTTGTTGGAGGAAGGGTGTGGATGTGTATGGTGAAGAATGAGTGATCATGGGTAGGGCCATGATCCAGCAGATCCAAATGCTGTCACACCATGAGATATAGGTGCAGTGAACACACACGCRCACATACATGCACGCACGTCAGTGAGACACTCAGTGACCCTCTCACCCGTCAAGCTCAGGTCACCTAAACCTCTGCAGAGAAACCACCTCCCACTGCTAGGCTGAGGTGCAGCTTTCTGGACATGCTTGCAAGTCTGAAGTCCCACACATACAAGCGGCCAAGGTGAGGAAGTCAGATTGTTCTGCTTTAATTTCTGCAATTTTGGCCCCCCTTCAGAAGTAACCTGCAAGGACAGAGTGCCCCACACAGCTGTTTAGCCTGGAGAGGAGGGCAAAGGGAAGGAGAGGTTTGACCTTCTCAGTAGCCTGAATGGTGACCATGCAGTAGAAACGTATGTGTTGCACCAATTGCCCCGCAAATTTGAGCATTTCCAGTAGTGCTGGTGGCAGCCGSAGTCCCTCTGCCCAGCAAGACTGATACAGCTGCCGGTGCAGGGGCTGCAGCGGAGCAGAGGGTTCGTGCGGGGAGCCCGGTGCCCGAACAATGGCCATTGTTCCAGCYGCGCGGCTGGCACTGGTGCTCAAGYCGCTGCTGGCTCGCGCTGYGCCRCAGCAGATGACACACTGCTTTGGGACAGCTTCTGCCCACGTCAGAGACCTCTGGAGTCAAGTGCTGCATTTACTTCTTTATTTATTTATGTGTTTGTTTTTTCCCCTTTTATCTTTTAATTTTGCTTTGTTTCATGGCAGACTCTCTGGAGGCTGGGAAGGGGTCAGTGGATGCTGGAGGCTGCGCAGCAGGGGCATCCCAGATCTCCTTCAGCACTGAGTGAGCAGAATGGACAAAGCCTTGTTACAATAATGCTAAAACTTGTAAACTATCCCCCTGTGATGTGCTGGCTTCCTCCATGGCTGGCAAACTGTGTGAACTGCACACGGTGGGCAGCAATGGGAGCTGGCTGGAAAGATGCTGAGCAGTGCTGGGCTGACCTAGCAGGTATTTCCACTGTCTTGAGGGTGAGTCCTGGTGCATGGGGCATGTCTGGGGGATAGAGACCTCTCTGAGGCACCATGTGTCAAGGGACTTGATCCTTGTCCAGCAGCTCCAGCGTTTCGCTCTGCGGAGGTCAGGGCAGCCCCTTCTGTGTTTTAAATGTCTGTGTGAAAAATTTTAGCASTGCAATATTCATGAAGTAGACACTAAAAAGGATTCCTTTCCTCTTCCTTTCTCCTAGCCGCCCTCCTGCCTTGCTAAGTGCATTTAGCAGCTGCTGAGGTGTGGAGCAGTTGCACATTATGGGAACCACAGTGGTGATG